TGCCGTTTCCGTGGGCAGAACTCTAAGCGTGAGATGAGGCAACCAGTCTCCCGAAGTCAGGTGAAGCTCTGCTTGATTTTCCTTGTCTACCAGTGAGCTTTTGTGAATTGGAAATTGCTGCTGCAGACATCGACATAAAATACAACTGAAGACAATGGCGTTCATCGGTAAACCTGTCCGCAAACAGACGGCATTGGGAGAAGCAGTAAGTCCATGTCAACTATAAACGTGCATGCAACTGCAAAACGCCCAAAACAATCGTCTTTTAATTTTACAAGGATATTCCGTCTAATCCTAATCAGCAACAAAGCCCAGGGGTGGCAGAGTAGAACAGGATGCACATTTTCAAAAAAGTGACGGTGATAATATGAAAATCGGGACGGCAAACAAAGCAAAATCGGGGCGGTGAAATTAGATTATGAAAAACACTTAATAAGTTAAGAACATGTATTACCATATCAACAAATCTACAAGGGATAAACGTTCTATTTTGCAATGGGTTAGGAAAGCACTGTCTACATGCGTTCGTTCAGTATCGCAAGAGAGTGGGGATTTCAAGTATAACTGACTGAACAGTTCTGACCCCCCTCGACAGAGCTTTTTTTTTTATAAACTGAGATGTTGACACCTCTTCAGTGGAGGAATTGCAATAAGTCTGATACTTCCCCACCAGTGCTTCACAGTCAGTTGCATAGCCTAGCCAAGGAGGGGGCGGGCTTAAGGGAGGGGGAATGCCTCCCGTACTTCTGTTGGCCTCCTGAAAAAGGAACAGATAGGAAATAGTATTAAGAAAATTTTGGAACTTGCTCCCCCCACTGTAACATCCAGTTCCCCCATGTCACCCCCCTCTGGCAGTGAGAAGTCTTGCTACGCTGCTGCTCACAGTGTATTTAATATAATTATACCGATTGTATTCCTTGGAACCTTGGAAGTGCCCTTTTATGTGACACTGTAACGTCTATTGGTGCACCGCAGCAAATAAATTTCCATGACAGCAGTGATAAATCTCCATACTTCACAAATATTAAAAAAATGCTCACAACTCTCACAGGTGTTCAGGCTGCACAGAAAAATGATGTTCCACATGTCCTCTTTCATTTTCCTTTCAATTTTTGGTAGGAAGACCGATAAATTTTTGAGAAATTCTCACCTAAAGCAGACCACCCCTAAAATGAAGGAAATTTCACTGCCAGGAAAAGTATAGCCATTTTGAAAATGCATCCCTCTGCGAAACGGCTAAATAGTACCACTTTCGGACCCCACTGCATCCAGATTGCTCAGAACTGGAAGCCCTGAGTCCGGGCCAGAGGTCCAGTCTCATATTTCTTCAGTTCCCCATTTCCACGGCTCTCAGGACCCTTTGATATAGAATATTTTGCGTATAAATTTTATTAATGAGCTCGGCAGACGGGTCCTGTGCCTATTTACCAGGGTGCACCCCTAAGAGGAAAATCCTCACGAAATTTATCAAAGAATGTTGGTGTTGCTTTTGTTTTTGTATTTGTTTTGCTTTGTCTTTGCTTTGTTTGTTTACTACTTTGTTGTACTGATAGGTTTAAATTACCTCACCTGTACCAACCTATGCTGCTGGCATTGTGTAAACAAAATGATGAGCATGTTTCAAATTTAGGACAAGGCCAAAGTGCGACTTGAGGGTTTGGTTTGCTGTCTGGTGAGTGGGGATCATGAATATTTGCATCCCTGTGACTGTAGATGTATCTCGCTTTACTTTGCGTATAAATTTATTAATGAGCTCGGCAGACGGCTCCTGTGCCTATTTACCAGGGTGCACCCCTAACAGGAAAATGCCTAACAAAACTATTAAGAATGGTTCATTTGGGTGCTCCCGGAAAATTGTATAGAAAATAGGACGTTACTTTGCATTAGTTCAAAGGGTGCAGGTTTAACGATTGTGGTTGATCAGTTGCCTGCCATCAAGGCCACGGGGTTTAACCATTTGCAGTATAGGATCATACTCAAATTAAATCCAAAATTGGGCCCTGAATAGTTGATATGACTCAGACAATATCAAGCTTCATATAAGTGATTTTTAGAATGCTAATTTTCCCCCCTACTCACCAAAGAGATGATTTTTTTTCTCAGTTACTTCTCGGTTAGTGCACGAAACATTTATGCAAGTTGATAGTAGTCAAGTTCTTTGCGATCCTGGTCAATTCATCATGCTAAATTCTAAGAACCAATCGGTAAGTCATTGCATTTGATGTGTATTCTCAGGTGCAGTCAAAATTCAAGCAAGATCTATCCCAATTCGAGCAAAGCTTGAAAGGTAGGCGATTTTAAGACTTAGTCGTGTGAATATTCCTCTTTGAGCCAAGATCTGTACGATAAACTTCAAAGACAGAGAATGAATGAGGAGATTCCTCGTCCAGAACCTGAAAAATGATTTGAATTGCCTAATCCTCTAGCAAGGACTCAGATTCAAGTCTGACAGTAGATCTCTTCAATGCGTGGTCCAACATTATCCGTCGACTGACTCCCCTAACCTGGCCATACCCGACGAACCGACTGACAATCAAAGACAGTGCATAAAACGTTGACTATTTTTACCATTAAGTCACACTTGTCATAATTCTGAAGATATGCAGACTTGCCTGAAAGCAGTTAACGACACGGTGGCCGAACACTACGGAGAGTTACTGCCACGGTCCAATGAATTCCAGCGGGCTCTTCAGGTAGGTCCATCTGATCTATGAGTCCTTCTTGTTTTAATACCCAAATAATTGACACTGGACGTATCTTGATCTTCAAGTTTCAGGTGCGTATGGGGAGGGTGGAAGTCTCCCCTGGAGATACTTTAAAACGGTGGGGCTCATCAAGACATTTATTTGGGTGTCAGGATAATGTTGCGGACGAAGAAATATGGATTTAGAGAAAATCTATTTTGCCCCATTTCAGCTTTATAGCATTGGACAAACTTCTTGAGCGTCGAATACTTCATTTCTCTTCATTACTGCTGTCTGTCACATCGATTTGTGAAACATAAACTTCAATCCCAAAAATTATACAGGGGGATGTTAATCCTAGATCCAAGATCCCAGAAGAGAAACAATTTCATAGGTAAAAATAGACAATACCCAGACGATTTAAGCACACACTTGTGGCGTGATCCCTGGATTTAATTAACTTAGAATGGGAGGGGAAATTTGCGATTTTTCACAAACGTGCCTGGCAACTTCAGAAGAACAACTTATTCAAACAAAAAATGCCAAAAATGAGTTTTCTTTTGATTCAAATCTTTGTAAAGATGATTTCAACATGAAGTTCCCGTATTTCTTCTTTCCCTGATCCCTTTTCCTGCTTTTTCTTTTCTTTTTTTCTACTCTGCTTCAACCAGGATGAAAACACACTTGTTGAGAACTTCATCAAGGAAACACACGATGTCGGAGACAACTTACGACGCTACAGCCAAGAGTACAGTGACACCGAAGCAGACGATTCACCTGTATCCAGGTACGCCGGGGTATTCTGGCAGATGTGTGGTACTTAGGGGGCTTGAGACATTCCCCAGAAGAGTAAAAATGGTGCCCTGCAACTTACTGTGTCCAGTATTTTGTTATCAGAACTGTAAAACAAGGTTCCCTCGGGATACACTTTTGGCAGGAAACATTGGGACTACCTTTTGGAACAAATATCTGAGGGAAAAGGACATGGGGGAACCTGAGATTTTGATTTCGTGACAGGTTTGGCAAATATTTATCGATTGACATATGAATTGTCTGACCGCAAGTTTAGCACCTTGATATTTAGTCCGAAGTGAAAAAAAAAAAAACTTAAGCGGTTGTACGAGATTTGGCATAAATCTTTCGGCTTGGCTTATTTCACAGGGATAACCTTTTTGCTGGTGTTACTTTGCTCATACACTGGTATAAAACAGTCACCACCCTCAATTCTCAGTCAAAATTTAGAAGCAGATGTGAGCGTATAGTATGGATGACCAATAATTTTGAGCGACGACATGGCGGGCTATTAACATGAATCTTGTAAGATTTTTTTTATAAAGTTTAAGTGTCCGCCTCGAGCAGAAACACCCCCCTCATCGCTTGAAAAGAGCCGTGTTGGTCGAAAGCGTTCATTTTGTTGGTAGCAATGCGACCATAACGCGTGCATTTTATAGTCGTTGTTGAACCTGCAAACTTCAATTCCGCGGCATCCGACCAAAGGAGCCTCCGGTGCTAGGAAATCGCGCCCTCTCTTGGGCCAGCTCGAGGCTCATATTCTCGACGAATACTTGTTGGGGAGCAATACGTATTTTGGCTTCTTACACTTGACATTTTATCACCTCTTATTTCAGCGCAAACAGAACAAGTGAATTTGCCACTTCTGTTCTCGGAGCGATGTTTAAGGGGCAGAACGTCTTCTTTTCCGAGAGTAGTAAGGTATGGCGGAATTGTTTGGACCTACTCACATGTACACATATCCATTAAAAACAAACAAAACAAACAAAGATATCAAAAGGACAAACGCAAAGACGCATTCTACGATCTATCACAAATTTCCAACGTGATTCAAATTCCCAAATTACTAACATTATAAGCAAACAAATTCCCTCATTTCCGTCTTGCCCGCAATTAATTGAGACGAATTATTAGAGAAAGAAAAATGTTTACAGACTATCTGAAAATCAAAACCTCCAAGGAGTGGTATTATCAGTCCACTTCATTCCCTTCGGCCAAGAGAATCTCGCCAAGATGACAGCAGGAACATATTTTGAAACTTTATGCAAACTGAACAAATCTGAAGTGCCTTTTATAAAAAGTAAATTATTCCCAAATTTTAAAGACCTAAAGTAAAGCGTGCAGTAATCAGCCTGCAGCAATTCAAGGTTTTATCGGTTAATCAAAAGGTATCACAGGTGCTGCTGGACATCGTATCGCAGACCAAATACACCCCTACTCCTCGCGAGATCAAACTGACTCGTGAACTGCAGGAAAAACTGGAGGACAAGCCGGTGGCTGCGCGGGGATGGACGGGACGGCCGCCGGCAGCCTCTGCCGTGTCGCCTTTCGCTACGGCGGGGGGTGGACACCGGGGCCTGGGAACTCTGATAGGCGGTGCTTACGGCAGCCAACAACCCCGTGAGTATGACGCAAAGAAGACAGGCGTCACATACGATCACCAGCATCATTGTTAAAAATCTAGAATGTTAATATATTGAAGTTTTGCCGAAATTTATTAAGAGTCAACATTGTGCCCTCTGTCATAGAGGACAGAATTTTCTTCCTCTAGTTACATGTACGTCTACATGAAATGGACGGAGCCGTAAACCGCCTTATATCGATTCTAAATTACTTCTCATTTCCAACTGCAGAATCCAAAGGCGTGTCAGCTCAGATTAAACCGGCATCGCGCTTCAGCTCACCGCCCTCAACGGTCACTGGCGGTACCCGAATCTACATCTAGGCCTCAAGAAAGCTTTCGAACCAGTAACAAGTCTCCCGATTCTGCTTGCAACCTCAAAAAAATTTTTATACTCTCTTAGCTTTCCATTGAACCACGAAATTTTTTACTTCTATGCAACAAGGTTCCTGACCCATCATATTTCTAGCAATGCCCTGAACGAATCTGGATCACATTTAATGTTAGATAAACCACACACCAGCCGTATACAAAACTGGACAATACAAAAAAATTGCCGAACGCAAACCACACTCACTCAAATTATGACGGATTGGTAAAAGCTTCTTTATTCGGATTTGTATACATCAATTAAACTGAATATAGTTAAGATATTCAGCAACGTCTGCAGTTCGTCTGTTAACCTGTACACGGAAATGGAAACTCCAAGTTGACAACAGACTTACAGAACTTCTGTTAATTCAAGAATGTTTAACTATAAAAATAGGATTACATTTTCGCTCACCACAGATAACGTTTAAATTATGATGCAAAAAACACCAACAGTACATTTAAGTACTCAGAGAGATTACCGTGGAACTATGCGCAATGAAAAGAAATAAAGACAGAAGAAAATTTAGAGTAGTTTCGATTTATGTTTTTGTACAATTGTGAACAGGAACACAACAGTTGCGTTTGACCAGAGCGTCCCAATTTCCTTTCCGATTTATGGTGTGGTCTACTGTCGAGCACCTCAACAGCAATGTCTTGCATAGACCCAGGGGTTGAAAAAGGCAAACCACCACGTGACGCACAATCCTCACACCGTCCGTGCCTAACATTGTAAATTTGCTTTTTAGTGGCATTCCGTGTCGATGCTCTGTCCGTGCGAAACTGAAGCGCCTTGGTAGTGTGGCACTCTCGCGACACAGAGGAAAGAAAGTGTGCAACCATGAAAGAAAGAATCTTTCATTGGAAATGAAATAATTGCAACGGGGGTCCAAATGACGGAGGGCTAATGTTTCGCAATGACAAATTAATTTTGCCAACTAAACCTGTGTCTAACCAGTACGCATAGCCTACTGGCTTGACTGCCGAATGTCTGCAGTGTGGAGCTACACAGTCTGACTATGGTCGCGATTCGTGTGCTTCGATTGGGACGTCTTCCACCGATACTACAAGCTTGAGTTTATGACAACACACGGCTACAAAACACTGACGGACGGGCCAAAGTTTGCAGAAAGTTCGCATCTGGACACCAAGAATTTCTGCCTCAAAATAGGGGTTCCCGTCCTCAGAGCACAAGAGTTTTGTCTCACTAGGATAGGCTCCAGTAAACCTTTTGTGCACTCGTAACTAAATTAAAATAACAGAAACAGCATCAGAGACACCATGGAGACGCCAATAACACATAACGTGTATAGACCTGGAAATGAGTGCCTTGTGTTGTGATGGTAATCTGCCTATTCAAGACAAACTAGTCAAGCATGCAGCGCTTGCACGTGGTTGAAGATGCCCGTAGGAATACATGCAATCACGGTCCACACGTGGTGATATTATTTACATTTAGCGCAATGATCCAGTCTGGTGGGTGAAAAAGGTCTACACACATTTTGCTTCATCAGTGTTAACACGGGAAGCATTTTCTATATTTCGTAGGAGAGTTAATAATGTGAGATATTTTACCACTTTGCGAATTATTCTTTTGATTTTGTTGCGCCTAGCCATAGTTTACAGGCTATAACAGGTCTATAATGCACTGGCCGCATTGATAGGGAAACTTCATGAGCGGGTGAATTCTGGTAGAATGTTAGTTCAATTTCTAACGCACGCAAAGATACCATGCACCGCGCATGCGCCTAACTGTGAGGCCAATCAGAACGCAAGACAGACTCATCCCGCTGGTGAATGACGACCAAAAAAATCAGAGGCTTTGGGGCTGTTCACGTCATTCACAGACTCAGGTCCCCAAGTATTATTTAGAGCAACATGTAGCTTGTACTATCAAAAGAGGTTCGTACGGAATGCATCCGGGTTCTGCGACCATATGTAAGCACTGAATCGGATGCCGTGCGGTTTTACAGAGATACAGTACAGTTATTCATAAAATTGCCAAGCAAAAACAAGTTACAGGCAAGCTTGGCGGGTGATTGCGTTCACAATATCTTTCCTCCCTTATTCTCAGACCCAATTGTTACCAAACATCTAAAAGCCTCTCAACTTTAAGGATTCTTCATAGTTTTTCTTATTACGGAGATTAAAAAAAAAAAAAAAAAAAAGCAGCCAAGTGAACAAACAGTACAAATTGTTGATAAGACTACAATAAAAATTCCAAATCAGGAGTTATTTTTGTACTAATGTAAATACAATGTTCTGCTTAATGTTCTTATCACTACATCACTACTAAGTAGTCAACTACTATTAAGCAGCACAAGATAAAAAAAAATTAGAACTGATGCAGATGAAACAAGAAAAGTCGGTCATCCAGACAAGCCAAATCTTAAAGCATTTAAAACAGTTCCAGCTACATACAGTATAAATCAATGTAAATCATGTCGACAGCTGATTAAAATAATTTCAGAATCATACACAAGTACCATAGAGTAACACACAGCACACAAGAAAAAAAAGGAGGGAAGTACAGTACTAGCTCAGGGGAAAATAAAGGCACTTTTTTACATGAAGTGCATTTGGACAATCTGTCGTACCGCACGACAGATATTGCATTAAACAAATCAAGCTTATAAACAAAAAGATACATGTAGTATCTCTATACAACAGCCATGTCAGTCAGCTTTTAATATTGCGGCAGTAACTTCATCACATTTCACCACCCATACCTTTTTTCATACAACTAAACATACACATGCACATTTTCAATGCACGATAACATATACATGCACATTTTCAATGCACGATTCAAATGACTATAAGGGTAAAATAATATGAAAATACACTATGGCTACGAGTAGGCCAAAAGAAAAAATCCTTCTTTGTAAAATCCTAAACCAAATAACTACGGGATTATAACCCCCTGAAGACCTTTAGGGAGAAAAAATTACATAGCATACGTAACATTTACCAGCGTCCTGCCCTTGAATTAAAAAAAAAATGAGGAGGGGGGGTCTCCCACATCAAAATTTACTCTACTTGAAACTTCAAAAGTCACTGGTGTTTCCTTCTGTATCGTCAACTAACAAGTTTTCTTGAAATCATCATGTGATGTCAGTTACATGTATAATGCTCAAGCAAGCATCAGCTAAAGGAGACATGTCCAGCAAATCTTTGGTAGCCGCTGATTTCCCTTTTTATGATTTTCCAAGCACAGATGGTTAATTCCCGCTGTAAGGCGTGGTCACGTGGTGCACTCGATCCTGTTTAGTTTATCCCCATACCCAAAACCCCCGTCGACATTTTTTTGCCAAATGGGTGGACGTTGCTACTGAAGGCTACACACCGACAATTGTTCTCAATGAAAACCATCTGCAAGTTAGCCTGGATATTCCTGATGTATTACTCAGACATGTCAGACTCAGAGACAACCCTGTGCCTTGATACACATGCCTGGATATCCCATGACCTTGGTCGGTGTGGACTTTAATATTTTGCATGTATGTACTGCATGCTGTGTTAACACCTAGTGACAGGAAGACCAAATCAGGATTCAGAAAGCCTGTAAATCTCACAGGGACCAATGAGATATCAGAAGCTTTGAGGGCATGGTCTAGTCCGGCCCATTACATGCGTTGGGTTCCCAACCTTGCTTGTGAGCTGGTCTGTAGTACTAGTGCATTGCTTCTTGTACTTGGCAGCTGTACAGCTCACTCCAATGTAATTTGAATCCACATACCATCATGATCTCAGAAATAAAAAAAAGTCTTCCATTTTGGCACCCAAGAAACATGGAAATTAGTCCACTTTGACAACATACATGTAATTACCTGCCCAGATACACCAAAGAAGATTTCAAGTCTCTGTGCAGTGAAAACCGGGACCAAGAAAATTAAATAAAGCAAAACAGAAAGTAATGCCCCAGCAAGTACAATATCTGCATCAAATCCTAACCTAGGACCTACTTCATAATAACCACAATAAAGCAAGACATTGTTAAATCATATAAAAAGCTTGAACATGTTAAAAAGTCTAAATTTATACACAATATATCTTATGTACATATATGCAATGAGACACTTTGGAAATTCCTGGGACCTGCGAACACACACTGGTGCATTTTAGAGCAAGTTTTTAAAGACCAGACGGTTGACCTATGATTGGTTTGGGATGAACTTTTCCTTTTTCTAGTACACCGATTCGGCGTATGACCCTCAGTCAGTGAGCAAAGTTTATGCACAACTGTTCTCTAAGAGCTACCGTTTGGGTTTGTGATCTGTCAAACCATGGCAATGTTGAGAGTGTGTATGAAATTGAGGGATTTAGCCGAGACCATCACAAACCATGCACATTCACAAGCTGTTCAAAAAGAACTGTGGAAAAAGCATTCTGATCACAGTTCATCTTGGAACTTGTGACTGGTCTTGTGAAAGTACTTGACTATAGCCCTGCATGAAATGCCATGCAAAAATGTTGGGAATTGCAGAAGGAGTTTTTAAAAAGAAAAAGAAAAAAAAGATGTCTCCTAGTTTGCTTTGCAAAATTCACAGGAGCGGATCTATGCAAAAAAAAAAAAAACAAAGAAAAAAAAACAAACCAAAACTGATCCAGTGTAACAGTAATTCCAAACAGTTGAGCCTCCAAGCTCCACTCCAACTACAGTACCCATCCTGTATTCCAAACCCTCCAAGCTCAAAATCCCCAATACACACTGTGGTAAAACCAGCTCTTGGTAACAAACATGTATGTAATAGTGAGACCAAACTCAGGCGACTCGTCCAACCACCGTAAAGCTAGTCAGACCTGACCTGCACCACTCACAGTGTATGATTACACTTGCTGGTCTCCATTCCCCCGTCGTCAAAGGTGTGAACACTTTAGTCCTCGTGGATTATCCTTCGCAAAGCCTCTGTGAGGGAAAATAACTTGAGAGGCTTTGATGATCGGAGTGGAAGTGAATTTGTTTTTTTCAGTGCTAAGCCCCCATACTGTCCCAGAACCTCTCATTTTTTTCCTACAACCGGAAATGGATTCGGGTTCCTGTAGTAATCAATGAGAAAACCCAAGAGATGTCCAGTCTCCTCGCTGGCAACTAGTAACAAGTACTTTGATAAGTTATCTTTCTTGAGCAGAAGCCTTCCCCTCCCCCTCATTGGTTGCAAAGAGCCATGCTGGTCAAGAGCGTTCATTTTGCTGGTAGCGATGGGGGCTGTAAAGCGTGCATTTCAAAGTTAATTGTGAACCAGCGAAGTGCAGTTCCGACCAATGGAGCCTCCTGTGCCAGGAAAATTGCGCCCTCTCGGTCCAGCCCAGGGCTCATAGGCTTAGAATCATCTGCATCCAGTTAGGTACATGTACATGTAATTACTGCTCAACACAGAACTTTTACATGTGATGATCTGCGCATACTGGCTCTGATACCAGCAAATGGAAAAAAGCCAGATGCTTAGTGCAATCGTGTAACTTGGTTGAAATTTACGAGGAGGCACAGGGGAGGGGGCACAGAGGGAGGGGGAACAGGGGAGGCGACAAACATTTCTTAAGGTGTCACTTAAAGCAAATGAACTGCAGCTTTCATGTAGCCTGAGCACTTATTTGAATTTCAAATGGTGTTGGGATGGGGCTTGGGACAGGGGCTTCTGCTGTGGGGAGACCTCCTCTGTGGATGTCTCTAGCTTGGTGCAATGTTCCTTTATTTTCCTTAGCCTAGAAATCTCTTGTGGAAGTTTAGAAACACTTTCCACCATTTTCCCACAACTGCAGGATTACTAAAAACTGCTCTTTTGCACCCAATCTCCAGCACAAATGCAGTACTCACATTGCGGCAATGAAAGGATATTACATTTCTCATCTTAAACAAATTGCCTCATTTTTTTTTTGGTACAAGAAAAAGTACTTTTGGATCAGCATACAGTTTTCTGTGGCAGGAATTAATTACATGTAACACACACATTGTTTCTACTTCAGTCATTCTAACCAGAGGGGTAATGTGTTAGCAGTTGTACCCAGAAAATTAATTTTGTACATTCAGATTAGCTTTAAACCAAGTAGTTACTCTTGCTTACAAATGCAAGTTAAACCATCAAGCACATGTCATATCGATGAACGGTGTGAGTGGGAAAAATACCGATGCATAACAATGATGCACAAGTATGATGTGCATCAATTACAACTTGAGTAGAGACTAACCCAGCAAACTGCATTATCAAAGACCGACATGCATAATCATCGATATCTTAGGCATGGAACAGTGAAAATGGCAGGTTCTTTGAATGCATTGATAAGGACAAATATGTTTCTTCAATAATAATGTTTGTAGTTGCATACAGGTACACAAATTACAGATTTGTACACAGTCATGAAAACAGACTATAATCCAACCACTTTGAAATACAGTGGATTGGGTTTTACTGCCACAATACCAACATGGCAGGATTTTTTGGTTACTAACTGCCAGGATCCCTCCTACCACATCCCCCCTTCTATCCCGTGGGCATCTGACCCCACTGCATTCAGCCAATCAGACGCCCAATTTCAGTGATATTGCCAATGATTGGCTGTTGACAACTAGCAGGTGGTGCTTCTCTAAAAGATTTGCCCATGTTGCCAATGATTCATAAGTTCATCATAAAAAACAATACATCACACGTGGACTGCTGTCAAGACCATGCATATCATTTGCATTAATATTAATGAGGTATTTTAGTCTTGGTAAGCATTTAAAAAAAAGTTTGATTTTTGCCATAACTCCTAGAAATACTGTCTCATAAATGACAAAAAAAGTACTTCCTTTGGGTCTGGGTCATAACAAGATCGCTTTGTACTTGATTAGAAGTTAATGAAAGCAACAAGTGCATTGTACATCTTCTAGATCACTATCTTCAGACAAACGTTCTTTAAATTTTCAAGAAAACTGAAAAATATGAACAATGGAACGGAACATATATCGTGGGTCAACAAAGTGGAAGGGTTTGTCACGACATCAAGTTGAAGCAAATAAAGTCACAGCTTCAGGAAGAGAGTGAATCATTAGTGTTGTCATATCAACCCTGAATGAGCTGGGGGGGGTGCCCCTTGACATTTTCTTCGATATTATATAAATGGAATTTTTTTTGTGCCAAGCCTTCAGAGTTTTGCTAGTGATGTCTTCCAATAACTTTGACACCAGTTTAATGAAAATCGGACGTACTGTTCTTGCAAAATTTCATTCAGAGACAGGTCAGGCAAAAATGCAAATTTTTTCCCACTGACGGGCTTTTGGCTCAGTAGCTGGTGCGTATGAGTCCACGAATTCTAAACAAACGTAATAGAACCCTTTGTCAGAATGAATGGAGACACGACAGATGTACTCAGAACGAATGTCTCTACATGCATGCCAAAGATTTAAAAGAGATCGAACAGCTGAGACCTAAGAGATGGTCTACACAGCTCAGTTCTCTTCAGGTCAAATTATGACATTTGTCCATTTTGTTCCTGGCAGGCTTGTGTAGTTCAAATTTTTCATTCACGGCCTAGAGATCTTGTGAAATTTTAAGCAAGTAACACGGACAACACCATCCTCTGTGACTCCACATTGTTTGGAGGTGGAGAAAAAAAAAGCTACTGACTATTCATACTGAAGAGGCATCAGATCTACGAACCCTGTTCTGGAGGCTTTTGGCAGCGGAGAGCTCGTCCAAGGCTGCATGATATCGTGGCGAAGCATTATCCTCCATTCAAGATTTTAAGGGGAGAAAAAAAAATGACAACCCCCACAAAAGAAGAAACTTCGCTCAGAGTCGCACAGTGAAGTTCTCCGGGAAGACGCCTTTGGATCCATCGGATGTCTTGATTCCAAGCGACCATCCCTCATCCTACCAAGGAAATAAAGTTAATCAGAACACTTGTCAAACCCTGATCTGAAGATTTCAGTTCTGCGGGAGAAAGAGGAAGAAAATCATACAAAGGGACGTTCGGTGGTCAAGACATCACAAGTTTCACATAAGTTTTTAGTTGTATTGACGTCCAGTTTTGTTAATAACACATTTCCTTCACCCTGGGACTCAACTTGTACACTTGCCTGCAATCTCTTCTGTGTGCTATCTAGAAGATGGCTTCTGTTCACTGCACAGAGTAAGACTTTTACCCACACAAAGAAGAATGATTAAACATGGCGGATACTTGGCACAGTGCCATGAAGGACAAAAATCTTGTTGAAAATCAACCGCGGATGGGAACTTCATCTGCTAACAACACTAGTCACAAATGCACTTTGGCCAAATTTTGGCTCCCAATACGCCAGAATACAGAGTTGCTTCACTCAACTCTGAAGGGTGCCATTTTTACCTGATCGTCCGGATCATCAAATGGCAGTACGTCTATGGTCTCTCCCTTTTCAAAAGTCAGCTCGTCTGAGTCTCTCCGCACATAGTTGTGTGTGGCCCTTACCTACATGATGCCAAGACCAAATTACACACACACACAAAAAAGTGATGTCAGAGAATAGGCCCTGTGGATTAGGCTTGTAACAGCGAGTAAGGCAGTAATTGATTGGTAACCAGAAGGCCAAATGTAGATACTTAGAGAAGGAATGTATGTCACTGGTTGAAATTTTGCCAAATCTGTCTGTGAAATGAGTGGATTCGCCTCAGACCTCAGTTTTGCTGGTTCCTGTCAGAGCTTGAACATGTGGTTTTAAACGCTGCTTCAAAATGGCCAGAACCAGCGAAACTAAAGTCTTAGTTGAATTCACTCGTTTCGAAAACACTCTATGGTTACAACCATGCAATGATAATTTGGTTACAAATTCAATTAACCACTTCAAGCCAGATGACATGTAAAAATGCAAGGATCTGCACCAGTTAAATGAATGGACATTTAAAAATTAACCTGGCAGTTTGGATATAAAGTAGCAGAGGACGGCTGCACTCCTCCCTCGGCTTGTGCAATCTCAATTGTGTTCGTAATCGCATACGTAGGCTCGATCTAGCCAATGGGGCACGTTCCGAGTCCTCGAGCATTCGCTTGCCATGGCTGGGTCCTGTGGTAAATATATGTCTCTTCGCCATGGTCTCTGAGCGCTGAGTCACTGTTACTCACCCTATACATGACTCCAGGTGGAAGTTCCCCGTTGGATTTGTTAGGTGATACTGTTTCTGGTGATGCGAGGGGCGGGACTGCTCGCTGCTCCTCGTCCTTCTCTGATGTCCGCCTCATCTGCCAAAAAAAAAAAAAAAAGATACGAAGGAATACAAGAAACTTAGAAGACCTCCACTTCATTGCTATAAGATAGCAAGGTGACTACTGACTGATCCATTAACCGTACAGTATATTGTCAGCTCTAGTGTGAGAACATCCAGGTGATAGTAGACTAGGCATGCGTCTCAGTGACCAATAGTGGAGCTACTGCCCGGTGGTAGCATGCAAGTGAAACACAGTACCTTAAAATGGTGTGTTGACTGTATGGATCAGTGGATTTCATCGGCTATGCCACTACTGATCTCAACGAGGAATGAATTAGATCTAGTCAGAGGATTATCATGATGGTCCTTCAGACTTTGTTTTGTTCAGTATTGGTGAGTGCAGTCAAGCAGAAATCATTTCGCTCTTTCTTTGTCCACTCATTCTTGGGAGCAGGAATGGGACACTAAAGGAGCGTCTCAGAAGTTGGGATGGTTCGCGTTCTGTTTGACCCTTTCCATTGGAATGATCAAGGCATTCCTGCACTGTGTGAAGAATCTGATTTGTTCACACACTAATCCAAGGTAGGGGTCTGATGGGAATGCCGTGTTTGCAGGAGAACAGCCATCTGTTCTGGGATGAGAACAAGGCATCCCAAAGACAACATTCTGACCGTTACAAAGTATCACACTTTCACGGAGGTGCTAAGCACATAAATTTGCTCAGCAAAAGTGGGTTTCCAACCAAAATCAAATTGCTATGCATTGTGCACTTCTGGCAACTGGTTCCCAGCTTATTGCTGCTTAGCATATTTTGCCAAGCAATAATTTGTTCTTGTCAGGTCAAGGTGAGTGGGTCCTGTGTGTGAGGCGGAGACATGCCGTGGTGAGTTCCAGGAAACCAACCTCAGCCGGGGCGGGCTCTGCCGGCCTGGGGACCTGATACTCAAAGGCGTCATCTTCGTCCTCGTCCTCGTTGCCAGGGGCTGCTGCTGTTGCTGCTGCCGATGCGTCAGGCTGGGCCTGCTGTTGCTGGGCTTCGGGGCGTGGCGCCACTTCCCTCTCGTTGTAATGCTCTGGCACCTGCACCTCGTAGATGGAGTTGCCAGGAGAGGCGGAGCCGGATCTGGAGCCGGGCAGGTGAGTGTTACCTACCACATCAGGTGATCTGTGGGTGCAAAAGCACAATAAATATCTACCCTCCTGTATGCAATATACAAATATTTCCTGCTCTGAGTGGTACAGCGAAAAGTGGCTTTCTGAGAAGACCAGAGGAGTATTTTTCCCTAGAGAAGCTAATGGAACATGAAATGCGTCAATAAGATGTAAATTCACTGAACTATGACAACGTGATATATCCCAAATAAAGTGCCGCTATGCACTGACTCAGGCGAGAGGACGACCGGTGTTTCAAGTTTACATGACCTTGAAACACTTATTGGACCTGTTGCAGTGTGGAGTGCCCATGGAAGTTGATGACTGACTGCTCCTACATACCCAACTTGAGAAAGTCGCTTTATGTCGTATGTTCCCTTGGACGTCTCCTCATACAGCTCGCCCATGATGTTGCCGAGATTTAGTGAAAGTTTGCCGAGTTCTTCGTGCAGCGTGGCCTCTGCACCGTAGAAGAGCTGGAACGTAGCGGCGTAGAATGGAACACGACTGAAATTGAATGCCGTAAAGAAACAGATGACATTAACAACAGTACCGGTGACACAGTGATAACGGCAAGGGTTGCATTAACCCTCCCATGCAAAGATGCATTCTCAACACGGTTCTCCTATCTGTCAAAATCGGTCAAGTGACATATGATATGTCTATGTACTGCGCAGGGGAAGTGGAAGGAATTTTTGACTATTTTTGACAGTAACAGCAATGATGGCGGTGACACTAAGTGGTAATGGTGGCTAAATCAGTGTTCCTGGCTGTGGTGATGATGTTGGGTGGTGACACTTAGTGGTGATGGTGGCTAAATCAGTGTTCCTGGCTGTGGTGATGATGGTGGGTGGTGACACTTAGAGGTGATGGTGGCTAAATCAGTGTTCCTGGCTGTGGTGATGATGGTGGGTGGTCACACTTAGTGGTGATGGTGGCTAAATCAGTGTTCCTGGCTGTGGTGATGATGGTGGGTGGTCACACTTAGTGGTGATGGCGGCTAAATCAGTGTTTCTGGCTGTGGTGATAATACTGCTATTGCAATAAAGACCAGATCTCACAAAATAGATTTTCGAGACATTTTTATTCTTCGATTTTTATTTTGGTAATGTACCGGTCAAGCACTGCTCTTTTTGATGACGACATTGGGCCTTATACAGCAGAAGTGATAGTTCCAACTGAGTTCCATGGTGCAGTATTTCCTCAAAGGCTTACCACTTGAATGTACATGTACTTTTGACAACTTATTGGGCTGGGTCACACTATGGACCGTCCATAAATTTCGCCATTTTCAGGAGCGTACAAATCGTATCGGGGGAGAAGGGTAAAAGCCCTCCTTTTTCTGAATATGAAAAACGACGAGCTGTCAATGTGCGAATCAGCGGTCACTTTCAAGTTTTGTGGGTGTTGCTAGCTAGGTCATATCGATGTTCACTGCTTTTCAGGCCTTGGCTTTTCAGGTGTTGTTTTAAATAATGTTTTATTTGAAATTTATATTTCTTTTAATCACAATACTTACATGTACATCATTTCGCTCGGCAATAGGGAATTTGGCCATTGGAGCTCTCCATCCATCATTTTTTGCCCGCTGATGTACATGTACGCTTTCAAGGGAGGGGGGTGAAAAGTCTACTTTTTGTACACTTATGAAAAGGATGAGACTTATGGCCGGCCCCTTAGCAATATGGTCATGTCTAAATGTGACTGTGGCTGGGAATATCATGTATTCCTATGGAAGCCACTTCCAATACACGGATGGGTTATTTTTACACTGACCGCCATAGCCAATTGATTCTGCACAGTGACTCCAAGAGACCCTAACACACAGCCAAATAGACTGGTGCCGATGACACTCTATAGTACGTCCATCACTGTGTTCTTTGGTGGAACTAGACGGTGGCAATCTGTTAGGGAGCGTCTCAAAATTTGGAATGGTCAGAACGTTCCCATTGGAGTACCGTCTTCTCATTCCGGTACGGTCGGCCGTTCTGTTGGGAACGCGATGTTCCACATGGAACGCTGTGTTCCTTTGTAAGAATGGTCTGAGGGGAACACACATTCCCGTCGGAACGTCCCCATTCGGGTACCTTCATATCGCCCATGTACAAATCTTAGCCAATGACCAGAAATGGAGCCTGCCATGACAAACGAGCACAGGTAAACTACTTTGCTTTTATAATAGGCCTAAGTTTGAATAAGAATTGTAAATAAACCTAAGATGGAAATGTAATGTGGCAAAATTTGTTAATGTGATGATGGAAATTATATTTATAACTGAGATACAAAAGTGAAAATCACTACTTGCTGACCTCATGCAGAGTACATGTATATGTCGGTGTATCACTGGGCTATAGGCCGCAATACCAATGTAGAGCTTAACTGCCTTAGTCATGTCGTTCAACCTTTTCTGCGATATCTGAAGACCTCACCCTGCACCCCATCAATTACAAGATAGGTTTTTAAATTGTTTCTGATCTGATGGAATACTTATGCGTGGAAACATTGCGATGATAAATTCCTCTATCACACAAACCTGACAATGAATAGAACACTGGCAAGTACAGACGTTAACATTAACACAATGAAATCAACGGTGTCCAGATTATACTCTAAAGTCATTGCATGGGAAGCTATGTCATGGTGACATGGTGTCCAGATTATACTCTAAAGTCATTGCATGGGAAGCTATGTCACGGTGAATATGGACAAGAAAAAAGGGAGGAAAGTTAATCTTCATGAGGGGTAAATCACAAAATGCTGTGCTCCATCCAGCTGCCGTCCTGCAGACGCAGGGTCTAGGAAATGAATGCCAAACATCCTTCTTCCCGACTGAGAACGTAACTGCAGGACTGTTCCACTGGGAACACGTCTTCCCAACGGAATGCTGCTTGGAACGGTCTGGAACGTGCCTGCGACGTTCGGATGGAATGCCAGCCTTCCAGTGGGAATGGTCCAACGGAACGGGAACGTTCCCGATTTTTGAGACCCTCCCTTAGCTTTATGAGACACTGTCTGTGACGTCCTCTGTCTAATTACCTGTCATATAGTGCAGGGAGCTCTTCCAGCATTTCGTTGTTGATGTCCTCGTACATTTTCTTGGCTTCACTGTAGGCTTCTTGGGCCTTTTCAAGGTGGAAAAAAGAGACGGTCAAAAGACAGGAAACTTGTTCATTACGAGTAGATGTAGGAATGGAAGAGTGACAGAGCAGAAAAAGAAACAGTCCCCAGCTTTACACCTCCAGCAAAAGTTAATATAGTACCCTACTTCTACAAAGTTAAACATCACAGTACTAAGTAGATTTTAGTGCCATAACATTGCACTGCAACCTGACCAGAGAGTCAAATATGGGGAATGTAAATACCAATATGAATAAAACTCAGGTTCTCAAAAATGTCTCCTTCCGCATATTATTTTAGCTCCTTATTTCCCATCGAGATGTGCATCTGCAGGTGACCGTTTTGCTCCCTCAAAGTCACGAACAGCAATCTTGGTAGGAAAATGACAGAAGTACATGTAGATGTACATGTAACGCCACCAGGTGCAAGTTTGCCCAGTGTACAGAATGTTCTACATGCGCATTTGGCTTGAAATTCCATGGATATACACCACAGCCGATGCGCTTCGTCGCAAGAATTTGACGCCAAAAAGGCCAGCGCACGTGACAGTCTGTAGGAAGGGCCAACCAATTGAGAGAGACTTATGATATCTCATTCGTCTTTGCTTGATCCAAGCACTTATGACCGACTTCTGAACCTAGCTGAAGTAAGAAAGTTCTTTTTATCAATTAATGCTGGAGGACTTGTTCACAGGAAAGGTGATGGGTCAAACCTCATATATCCTACTGGCTTGCGCCCACATGCAAGTCTGTGTGGAGGTAAACCATGTACGTGTACTGAACTGGATCTTGGCTGGGCATACTCGTACATGCGTGGCACATTACTGCTGTAGATATTGCTCTATGGCTAGCCTCAGGGTGTTGAAAAGATGAAGATATGGTGAAAGGAGTTGTACGGGTATAGTACAAATTTATAGCACAGATAATTCTCAAAGGTTACTAGTGTAATGTTTGACTTAACTTTCGCTCAATTTGGCTGTCACATTTTAACTATTCCTGAAATTGGTATTTTTCAGCCAAAAATAAACCAATGCGTCCGGCTGGTTCATTGCGAAAACTCCTAGTGACAACTGCTTAAACTTTAGCCGAATTAAGCCTGAATGGTTCAAGGTCACGATTTCACTGCCTCACGTACCTTTGCGGCTTTGGCGTCATCCTTCTTCTTGAGTGTTTCCAGGTTGTGTCTCGCACTGTCAAAGTCGATCATCTTCCGACACCTCTTCTCCACTCGTTTCTGCCAAGAGTGTTGAGAGAATGCGAGTGACACTCAACTCTGGCCGTTAACTTCAACACATTGCTTAGGTAACATATCAATATTGCTAAGTCAATATTCTGCCCTGTAAATTTCTGAAGTGAGCTTAAGTCAACAATGATTCAATCAACCTCAATCTGTGTAACTTGAGATTTTGGGCCACTTGTCAGTTTTGATAAGCAAGTTGTTTTCCTGCTAAAGCAAAACTCATGAAACTAGCACCACATCCTCAGGAAGCATCCGTACTGTAACCCATACAGGAATACTATGGAGTTCAAAATTTCAATAGTATCAAAGACAAATGAAAGAATGCGGATATGGTCATCCCAAGAAAAGGTCCCTAACAAAACCGGCAAAATTGAAAGCAGATGAATTGCCTCTGTTTCTGAAAGTACATGAACACGTACATTCAAATGGGTTCAACTTTTGAAAGTGAATGGACAGCTTGACCTCTCTTCAAAAAGTAGTCATTAAGAAATTACTGCAAAGGCTGTATCCAAATTACTCGGCTGTGACTTGAGATTACAGTCGAACCTTGTTAATAAGAACATTGTCAATTCAGGATTCTGCTTATAATAAGGAAATTTGAGTCACAATCCTTTGTTTTCCATTGTTTTCATTCCTGATAAGACAAGGTTCCTGTTATAACAAGGTCACTTACCAAGTCTGAAGAACCTCTTATCAACGAGATTCTAATGTACACACAACTCTATAAGAAATGGCTAGCAGTCACAACTATAGACTTGTGCGTAATTTCGAGTCACAACCAAATAATTCAGTCACAGATTTAGCAAGATTAAGTGCTGATCACAAATCGGTGGGGAACCAGTCACAAGAGAGAAATGCATTGAATGACATTTCGGTTGGTAACCTGTTTCTGCTAAGCAAATATTCTCTTAGCTAAGACCGTGTCTGAATTAATTGGCTGTGGTTGAAATTACACAAGTCTATGACTTTGGCTTCAGCCAGTTCCAATAGAGTTATGTTCCAAGCCGCAGCGAAGTGGTTCGGACAAGCCTCAGCCAAGTTCTATGCTCAGCAGCGACAAGGCACTGGGCGTTGGAAGAGTTCCCTCACCTTTACGTCTGGAAACTTGGACTGGTACGTGAAGAGCGGGTTGATCACCTGATCGTTCATCTTCCTCTGGAAATCATCCCAAAGAAGGTCTAGTGTCTGAGAGAGGAGACCAAGTTCATTACTGACTTGGATGACTCATGAAGGTGTAAACTAAATCACTCTTCATTCCAATTCCATCCAAATCAGGACCTTTTTGAATTCTTGATAGCTCATACAATATAAACAATACATGCAAAAAAAGGGGAAAATGAAAAACTGTAAGAAAACATTAAGAACAGTTTTTCAGCTCCTGCCTGCAATGGAGTGATTGCACTTTTTTTCCCATTGGTTCCTTGCCATGCTAAAGGAACCACTACTGAGTACCAGCTGCAAGGGGTCTAGTCAATACAAATGGGTAATTAATTTTGGATTTTGGCCCTACCTGACATGTATTTTAACACTGTACGCTCAGCGTATGCCCCCGAAGGCTGGGTAAGCTGCGGGCTTTTTAAGTTACTTTCCAGGGAGGGGTTAGATTTAGTTGGGGATATTTTCATTAACAGTGGAGACTCTTCTTCATGTATCTGGGGTTTGTTGATTTTGAAGGGATCAAAACCAACAAAGCTGGGAAGTGAAAATAATAACACTTGGCAGCTCTTCCAGGATTGGCCCAGCTTTGGCTAAGATGCAAATGCATGCCAGCAAGAGGCAAACTGGCGCCTGTCTGATCCCAGGGGACCAGCACTTTTACACCTCACTTTGTCAAACGTTTCCATAAATAGTCATATTTTCAATATTCACACGGCACTTTTAAACCCACTTTTGATGATCATTTTTCATGCCATACTTGTAGGATGTCTCTAAACTGGTTGTGATTTTCACATGTGGTACGGTTACTACCTTTTTCATGCTAAGATTAGTCAGTTTTTGAACCATGGAACCCTGTCCATTGGGGGGGTCCTTACGTGTATTTTGTACATGTACTTTATCATCTTTGTCTCTGTTAGGATATAACAACATGTTCGCGTAGCTCCTTCATCTTGATACTCAATGTTAACCACTGTGACTTGGCTTTTGATTCTTTTGGCGTTTGTGATTTGGTGGTCATTCTTTAAACGAACTTACTTCTTTGGACTGAGGTACTTCACTGCTCTTCACCCAATCAGATTCGTAGATGTTCTCTAGTGCCTCGTGTAAACTCCGGCTGGCAGTGCTCATTGCTGCCGACGATAAACAAACAATGAAAATTCCAGTAACACATTTCAAAAACAAAACAAAACAAAACAAGAAGGGGCAGACATGTACCAATAACGTGCCATTCTGGAGCATGTGCGGTACCGTTGATGTACATGTACCGGGACGTAATGCTGACGCACATCTAAACATCTTCATGTACAGTACACGCTTTGTTTGTTTGCGCACAGCGTTATGGGTACGCACTATCCAGTCGGTACACAGATACCAGGTACCAGTACATGCTAGTGGTCTTCCCTCCATGTTTAAACTTCAAGTTTCAATCCGTAGCTGAGACACAAGCCGGCATGACTCCCTGTATGCTCATACCTCGTACACAGTTCATGTAGGTCTTGAGTTCTTTCTGTAACCTCGCCGCCACAGCTTGCTGCTGGCTGAAGTTCTGTGCGTAGAGGTCAAAGGCCGCATCTCTGGTCTCGTCTACTTTGCCGAGCTTCAAGAGAACCTGCCATGGGGCAAACAAGGAGACAATGTTTACCACACTTTCTGGAGAGTTTTGAGCGAAAAGAGAGTGAAACTTCAAAATAAAGAGGAAGACGGTATACATGTACATGTATTCGGTACATGCAAAACATAAAGGTACTGATATTGGCAGAATCGTAATGAAACAATTCAAAACTTGATCCATTTTTGTATTATAAAGCGGCATTAGAACCAGATACTAACTAAATCAGTAACCATGGTAACAAACAGTGCACAAACCTGTACAAAATGTTGGGTGAGTTACGGTTCGTGTACATGTACATTGACAGATACCGGAGCTTGTTGCTCAGACAACATTTTGTACTGCAGCAGCATTGAATAGCCATTTGCGAGTTAAATTTGAATAAAATCTGGTGCACTGAGTTACATGTACCTGACTGCACATAAACATAACGATTTGAATTCCTCAGACTAAAGACACTGTTGCTATAACTCGTGATTCGGGGCAAGCTTTCGCACAGCGACCACCATCTCTGGAATTGACTGGTTCCTTTGTGCCCTTCATATCCACAGAAAAGAGTGTATTGTTGCAAGGCGTCTCCTATGTAACTGAGCAAAAGCTTGCCCCGGATCATGAGATATAGCAACAGTGGTTTTAGTGAGGAGAATTCAAGTTGTTATGTTCACATGAATTTAAAGAACTCAGTGTACCAGATTTGGGTCAAAGTTAACTCGCAAAAGGCTTATTATTAATAGGCTTCAGCACTGGCGACTGTACAGGGAACAAATTGAAAGGATTTGTACATGTACAGGTACATGTACATTGTATATTTACATATGGTACATAAATGCATGTGCAGTACATGTACCGTACATGTACGGTACATGTACATCCACATGTAACACTACATGTACATGTACATCAAATGGTACTATGCCTTTCCTACACCCTTCTATGTGAGCATGGAGGTTTCCCGTCCTTAATCATGTACATGTAAGCAAATGTTCTGAGTGAATTACGTGTATGGGCAAATTTCACACTGCCGCTTCACACAGAAATTTGCCATTATTACTAGGCATCACCTGTACAGTGTACCTGGTAAAATATCATACAATGTACGAAGGTACAAAATTGTGGATAATTACCAACTTCCAACCAACAGCTCTTCGATACTAGATGAAGCACATGTATGGTACACGTACGGTACAGTTGGTCAAGCATAACAGTGCCAACGGCTGATCAAATTGGCCCAAAGCCGTGCCCACTGACCATGCTGACCAGGCACGCCAGGTGCACTCTTTACATGCAGTGCACAACAGTAATTCGCAAACACATTAATTAACATCGCAAGTCAAACATCATGTTGAAGTTTCTGTGAAATTTGAATACAAAATTAAATTTGGCAGTTTTGACAGTTCCTCATTCAAGTCATATGTACCGGTACAGCATGATGTGGGCATGGGCTACAGAAGTCCCTCGCAGTATGGTGCATACATGTACATGTATTATGTACATACATGTATGTACCGGTACATGCACATGTATTAATAATCTGGATGAGGCCAACATTGTACATGTTCTTGTAGACACATGTATGTACATGTACATGTACATTTGCTGTACTGTACATTGAATGGGTAAGCTGTCCACATCAGTAGTCTTGGACACTGGCTGTAACTGTGGGACTACATGTACATGTACATTTCAATATACAGACATGTACTGTACTGGGGCCAATTTCACAGAGCTGCTTAAGCACAGAATTGGCTGCAGTACAAAAAAAAACCTTGCTTTTAATAAACAAAGGTTACCAGCTCAAAATCCATGTGATTGTCATGCTAACCAAAAGACTGGTAAATACATGTACCAGTCCATCACAATATACATGTACATCACAAGATGTTTAGGCTGTTTAACCTGATTTGTCAAGCAAGGTTTTTTCACGCTTAAACAAGTTTTTCACTTAAGCAGTGCTATGAAAGTGACCCTAGTAAGATGGCCTTACATGTACGTGTACCGGTATGTTGGCCCTAATGGTATGTATGTACATGTAGGATAGCCTAATGAGCCACCATTGCCACCAACATGGTGCTTTCATCTAGTCTGAAACTGCCCTGCTACCAAAATACATGTATTCATGTACATGTACAAGCACATGCTACACACAGCATTTTGTTATTTTCGTTCAGGCCTTCAGTTTGGTGTGCTCACAGGACCGGTGCCTGCACAGGAGGTACGCACATCATGTACATGAACACATGTACATGGATCAGATCAGAAAAAGTTGTATCATTACTTAGTTATACATTTATACTTCTAACTTGTCTAACAGCACAGGACAAGCCTCTCCATGTTCATGTACATGGTGGAAACAGATTGTGTAGATCTCAGTAATGGTTGGTGATACTTGCAATTTCCTTTTGGAATGTTTTCAATGAAAGCAATGGCTTGCGTACTGCCAAGTGTACACGGACTGGTGATACCACTGCGGCACTGACAGGTTTTCCACAGTTTACATTTTTTCCCTGAAGAGTGATTTGAAGTGATTCTAAAGGAGATACTGTGTAGGAACCGAAACAACTTAACAGCACCTTTTTTCGGCACAGGAAGTGAACGGTGGTGTGTATGTATGCATATTGCGAATACATCCACAAACTGTTTTCATTCCAGGAAAGATCCACCGCCAACTAACTGGGCCACTTCCCAACGAGGAAACAGTTTCAAAATCCTGCACCAGTGATTTCCCGGTCTGCATGTCTACATGTAGCCTCCCTTTTTTATACTGGTGGCAAAATGCCCAATTGTATAAACTGCAAAGAATAGAGAGGTCTACAGGTACATACTCTGTAAGTGTATACACAGTACAACGTAACATTTATACACCCCCAAAAGTGTTCACACGGGACAACAATCCTCTTCAATCAGTAAAACGGATACCTCTGGCCCACACACTGTACAATGTTACATGTATGCGTGCTGGATAGGGTTGACTTTTTGACACGTTTGATGTCAAGCCTGTTTTGAAAGTCAAAAAGTCAGCACTTTTAGAGATCCTTCCCTTGGTTTTTTCTGGACTCATCAATTCATGTCAAGAAAATATGAAAGAGAAAGAAAAACAAGAAGTTTAAACATCTGCATGTACATGTACAGTAATGTGCTGTACCAAAGCTGCTGGTCACAGGTATTCCAAAGGACATTTTTAAATAACGGTTGTAGTCATCTGACAACAACTTGAAGATTGATTGCTTTCTTTCTACAGTATTTCTTCTACATGTACCTGAAAATTGTACAATACAAATGTGATGATCTGATGAAAAATTAGCATGGGCTATGTAAACAAAACATGGAAACTAGTTCAAGAACCACACGTACTAGAAAATCTGATGGAACCAGCTGACTTTCAATTGTACTTTACTTCTGCAATATTTCACACACAGGTACAATTTTTTTTTTCATTTGTATGTTACTCCAAATTCCTTCCCTGTGCAGCAGAGCACAAATACGGTACTTCGTTCATGATCACGTACACCTGTACATGTACAGTGCATGTGGCTTGCATGCCCTACCGGACCGCTATTCCAACATGAATGTGAAGTAACGGGGAAGGGCGGATTGAGAACCACAGTTTTTGGGTATTTTTTTGACAATGTATACATGTACTTTTTGAGGAAAGGAAAATGAAGTGAAAAAAGAAATTGGACTGGAATTTGTCGGGGTTAGGAAGGTGAGGTGGATTAGAAAACTTATCAGTTATTAACGGTAGTGTACTAGTACATGTACATGTATGTGAGACACCTTCATGTACAGTCATTTGCAAAAGTTTAAGACCACCTTTAATTTTATTGGTATTTCTGTCACTGAGCCACTGTCTCACTGAATGATTACTTAACATGATTTTACAGTGGTGCATAACAGTGTAGTGTTATATACCCATTTGAATGAAATATTTTGCAAAGGCAGGTCTTGTATGACATTTTGTCTGCAAGGCAGCATGGGTAAAAAAAAACACTCTAAGCAATCAGAAACAAGGGGGGGCACAATGAATATTAGACTGTTAACCTGTCAAATCATTGAAATGTAGTCAAAAATGTTCAACCAAGGTACCAAGGTTACACATTGAAAATAAACCTAAGTTGCCGTGATTGATTGGTTTAAGTTTGGTTTTTCTTCAGGTTAATGCATTTTCTATGGGCAGACGGGTGGTCCTTAACTTTTTCAAATGACTGTACACTGTACATGGCACATGTACAGGTACTAGACAGTGTTTGACAAGTTTTCAAATTGAAACTTTTAAATGGTACCTGTGTACATGTACGTACTGCATGAATGAAAATGGACAGCTTTAACATATTTAACTTTTATTTACATGTACACTGTAGACTAAACCATTGGTTCTTATGGCAGCATACATGTACGTATGCAATGTATTATTTCATACAAGATGTTGCCTTTTCTCTTCTCTGTATTACATGTACCTCCTCATGTACATGTATATGTACACGTACCCGCACATTGCTACAAACATTGAGAAATGGATTGACATCATTGACAATGGTGGCATAATTTGAAAATACAGTACTCTGATGTACAATGTAACAGGAGTGTCCTGGTTTGAGTTACAATAGTTCAATTACATTTTTGTGAGCTGAAGTTCTTAAGAATGAAACATATCCTTTATCATCCCTTTTATTCTTTCTTTCCATTGATGGCAGACTCTTTCATACATGGTGGAATTTTCATTGATTATTCTATTGAGTGAGATCAGTGGCATATATATGTGTATAAAGGTATGCATTTGTCAATGCCTTTGACACTCAGCATACCAGCATCCAAACAATTACATGTACATGTACACTGTACCAACACATTTACCACAAAGCTGTCAGTGCTGTCCAGAAAGCTCAGTCTCTTTCATCCCAAGGTCAATCAGAACAATAAAGAATTAACAGATGTGTCCTGGGCTCATTAGTGGAATTACCAGTGCTCAGTTTGAGTTGGTATTGGTGTGATTTGTTATAAGG